CACGGTCTCTCCTGCCCAGGCTGGCTTTGAACTGCGATCCTCAGATCTCAGCCTCCTGAGTAGCTAGGATTACAGGCATGAGCCACCAGCGCCCAGCTAGACACAATTCTCTTAATATTTAAAATATACTCTGAGAACCCAAGCACCAATGGCTCACAATTGTAGTATTAAAAACTCAGGAGACTGGGCTGGGAAGGTAGCTCAGTGGTAGAATGCTTGCCTTGCATGCATGAGGCCCTGTGTTCGATTCCTCAGCACCACATAAGCAGAAAAAGCTGGAAGTGGTGCTGTGGCTCAAGTGGTAGAGCTCTAGCCTTGAGCTGAAGAGTTGAGGGACAGTGCCCAGGCCCAGAGTTCAGGCCCCATGACTGGCAAAAAAAAAAACTCAGGAGACTGACCAGAAGGATCTCAGTTCAAAGTTAGCCCAGACAGAGAAGTCTCCAAGAGTCTATCTTCAATTAACCATCAAAAAATGACACATTAAACACACAGCTATGACCACCAATATGAAAACTAAGAGCACCAGGCCCTGAGTTTGAGATGTAGCAATAACACAAAAAACATAAATGAATGAACAAATAAATACAATAAAATAAAATGGCCACATGGACAAGGAATGTGGATTAAGTGGTAGATTGCTTGTGAAAGATCATGGGTCCAACTGCCAGTACTAGATAGATAGATAGATAGATAGATAGATAGATAGATAGATAGATAGATAGATAGATAGATAGATAGATAGATAGATAGAGTACTAGAGAGAGAGAGAGATACAGACATACATACATACAGACAGACAGACAGATTGGACACTGAAATATCTACCAGCCTTTATATGTCAGAAAACAGAACATTTTAACCAAAATAGACTAATAATTCTTAAGTTTCTATTTGTTGTTCAATTTAAAGTACAATGACAGAGAGTTCCTGCATGTAGTTTTCCTAGAGCTACTGAAAGTCTACAATTGGACAGGAGATTACTATCAGGATCAGGACCAGAAATAAGATTACTTTTACTCCATGTTTCCACATTTAGGTAAGGAATATAACTACTTTGAGTATATACAATCAAACATACTGAACACAAAGTCACAAATCCTATTAATCATGAAGAGTAATACAAACTCAGCTTACTGTTTAAAATAGGATTTTACAAAAATAAAATTACCTAAAATTAATCCCACCATTGTACTTAAATATCCGGTTCCACTTCCCAGGTTAAGAAAAGACAATCCCGGTTGAAGTTTCAGTGCTTCCATAACTTCAGAATAAATGCAAGGTGCTGACAAGTGTATGTTTCCATGCTTCCAGGCTAAGTCTTTGTAAGCATTGTCTCTGTAGCCTTCCAAATAATAATCACCACGATCAATGGCTCTGAAGGCTTGCTCTACTCTCTCAGTTCGGATATACTGAGCTTCTTTAAGGTTATCAATTAAATCATCATTATCTTCCCCAGCACTCACAGCTCCTCCCATGATAGTATTCAAATCAAATCATAAACTTTAATGTAACAAGAAGAAATGGCTTCCAATAATGTAGTGTGGTTTATTTTCTTTTTAGTATTGCACTTGGTTCCAAAAATAAATTAAACCTAGAAGAAAAGAATAAAAATAAACAAGTTTAATGTTCAAGAGGCAATTTTGTCCCATTCCTTAAATATGTCATTATAAATTAACCATCATTTCCCAAGAACACATACTGATCAAGGCACAATGATAAATTACTTATTTATTTAATTTTTACAACAACCACAAAAGTTAATTTACATGATTCTATCTGTACAATGGGTAAATTGAGACACAGACAAGTAGTACTGTAGACCCATTAGTAACCTAGACTTCAATTAAATGCATTTATTAAATGCAATTTATAATTCAATCATTCCATTTAGACACACACAGCTTCACAACTACATGAAACAGGTGGCTACCACAATGGACAACACTGATCTGGACAGTGACACTATAGCCCTGGGTCTCTCAGATTCAGAAACATGCTCATAATCACTAGTTCACATGGCTTACTTATTAAAAATGTTCTTGTTCAACAGATAAAACTTATTATCTTTGGATGGAAACCTCAGTGGATCTTGACAAACTAAATAATTTCAATCTATAATAGTGAATACACAATGTAAGGCTTACTCAGATAACCAGTAAGTAAATTCATATATTGGTTACTGAATTAAGAAATCCAAAGAGAAAGAACAAGGTGTGATGGGGGAGGGGGAGGGGTGCACACATACACCAGTCCTGGGGCTTGAACTCAAGGCCTGCTCCCTGCTAGCGCTCTACCACTTGAGCCACTTTCTGCTGGTTAACTGAAGTTAAGAGAGTCTCAGAGACTTTCCTACGCAAGGCTGACTTCAAACCCTGATCATCAGATCTCAACCTACAGAGGTTTACAGGCATGACTTTTAATCTGGAAAGGCTGACTCCCACTCTTGACTTTTGAGAAGATAAACTCAGGGTCTGAACTGTCTTCAGATCCCTGGACCAAGATGCTTTAGTGCTACTGAGAAAGCTCTCTTAGCAGGATTGTCCCATTATTTAGTGTCCCCTTCTATGATTTCCCCTAGAGATGTTCCTAAGAAAAGGAAGCACAATGAACTCACATATCACTGATATGCAACTTATTGAAGCTCACTTATATAATGCTGGATGGCTCCATTCCTCACTTTTAACGAAAAATTAAACAATAAAAACATTAATTTAAAAAATACACATTACAGGGCCCTTCTCAGCAATGAATATATTTTGTCCCAATAATGCAATGAAAAGATCTTCACATGCTGTCCCTTCAACAGATCTTAGGTTTAACCAACTGTTATAGCTAAAGAATCTAAATGCTAAGTATACTACAACATTTTCAAAATTACATAGTCTCCAAACACAAATCAACATGTTCATCTGGTACTCAAAGAGTAAATAGCCCCAAAGGAAAAATTAAAATAGCTATAGTAGTCTGAGGACAGTCTCTCAGCAGTGTGGCATTTGTCAAACAATGTAACGGATTTTGATCATAGACAATTTATCAAACACTTTACTCTAAGTGCCACAATTTACTAATATGAAAAACAATAATCCCCCCCTTTGTTGATTCTAAAACCTATGAAGAACCTGATCCAAGTTCCTCTCGAAATCCAACCTATTCAAAATTACCACAGCAAAAGTAACAAATGTCTTTGTATATAACTTTATAATAACAATAAAAATAAATTTTAAAAAGTCAAAAAATAACAAATGTTATCCTTATTATATAGCCCACATTCTGGTTAAGAGGCAAAGGAACAACCAAAGAAATAAGAACTACCACAATTACTGAGTCTTCTAAATATGATGGTTGCACTGTCAAATACGAATGCCTGCCTAGCTTACTCATGAGTCTAAGATTCAGAGGAGTGAGGTTCCAAGCCATCCAGGGAGAAAAGTCTGAGATGCCAACTCAAAAGAACAACAACAAAAACAAAAACAAAAAAAAAAAGGCCAGCAAAATGTTAGACTTGAGCCATGGCTCAGAGGTATGGTATATCAACCAAGCAAATAATTCAAGCAAGACCAAGTCCTCAAGTGCAAACCCAGTAAATAAACAAACAATGACAAAAAAAGACATCAACAGGCCCACTCTTTAAATGTATGAAGGCATGGGTTCTACACTGCATAGGCCTAAAACAGATATGGATCCAGGTAAGGAAAATAGCATCCTTAAAGGCACATACCATGTAAAACAGCTTAAAGGAGTTATAGAAAGAACTTTAGGTTGAAGAAACAGTGCTGTTTCACAAGAGAAATGAAAGTTTTTGGGAAATTACCTGTAGTTGAGCATTTTTCCAGCACCATACCAAACTTTACCCTGTAAGCCAGTGACACATATTCACCTCCATTCCCTTCTTCCCACCTTCCCAATCTCCCTCCTCTGTTTTGCCTAGAGAGTCTCAACAAATTTATGTATCCACTGCTTCCTATGAAGCTGAACAAATCAGTAATTTTACATGCAACCTCAGAAGGTTTCTGAGCTCTTAGAAGCTTGGGAGCCTACTCTAAGAACATCTATTATAGGCAACAGATAGCTAGTCAGGATTTTAACAGCAAAGGGAACAAGCCAATTTGGTGGGGTGTTTTTCTTTTTCTTTGGTATTGGGGCTTGAACTTGGGACCGAAGTAACTAGCTATCCTCGGAGTTTTTCACTCAAAGCTGATGCTCTATCATTTGAATGAAAGCTCCATCTCTGGTCTTTTGGTGGTTAATTGGAGATAGGAGTCTTCCTGGCTTTCCTGCCTAGGCTAGCTTCAAAGCACAATCCTCAGATTTTAGCCCAAATAAATAAGATTACACCAGTGCCCAGCACTACTTCCATTTTAGAAAATGGATGGTCTGTGTTGTAATCAGTACATGGGAAGACCTATTTCAGAATTGTAGCAATTGACTTGATTCTAGGTATACAGAAAGTTGGAAAAAGCATCACACAGTAAGGAGCATTGCAAGAATGTGAAACTTGATGTGCCAAACATCAAGCAGAGACAAATAAATCCATGTGAACAAAAAGAAAGCTGCCAGGGTATGCAGGAGGAAAGTAGTGTGAAATGCTTTTCTGGAACTGGAGTACAGCCATCTTCCTTTATCCATCTTCCCTTAGCGTGGATTCATTTCTTATGATTTCAGTTACCACAGTCAGCCATGGTCTGAAAATACTAAATTAAGAATGCCAAAAATAAGCAATTACTAACTTTTATACACACATCTTTTAAAATAACATGATCAACTTTTCAACAGCTTGCTCCATCTCACCCAGGATATAAATCATCCCTCTGTCCAGCATGTTCACACTTTATATTCTACCTTCTTAAGAGTCCCTTAGTAACCATTGTGGTTACCAAATTAAGTGGTGGCCTATGGAGGTGCCTGAGTTTCAGCAAACCTAATTTATTAGACTAATGCTATGTCATAATATCTACTTCATTCACCCTCCCCAACTTGATAACTTAGATGTAATAGTACAATATAAAAAACTTTAATAAGAGACCACAGACAACTTAATAGTACATTGTAATAATTTTCTAATTTACTATTACTGTTGCTAATCTTTCTATGCCTAATTTGCAAGTTGTAAATTTATAATTTACAAGATATCAAAGATACATATGAATAAGAAAAAACAGTATGTAAAGGCTCCGTATTATTATCTGGAATGGCTGGTACCAGGCATTTCATAATTTTTTCAGATTTTGGAATATCTGCATATACACAATGCAGTGTAAGCATCAAATTCACCCAAGTTTTATATACACTATCATATCTTATTCACAGCCTGAATGTAATTTTATATATTATTTTTAGAGTGACCAGCTTTTTTGAGAACGGGTCTTGCTATGCAGCCAAAGCTCTTCTCAAATTCTTGATCCTCCCACCTCAACCTACTAAATGCAAGGATACAGACTTGGGCCTCCAACTCAGTATGGGGTGCTTGCCTTTTCACTGGTGGAATTTTCCAGTGATGGTATCATATTATTATGAAGAGTACTTCTAATTCAGAGCATTCTAAGTTTCAGTTTTTTGGCTCAAGTGCATAGGGTTCATAACTATCAAAGATTTCAGTCATTTCAGTCATACCCTGGGAGTTTTAGATAAGGAGGGACTTCTTAACAGAATTCTAAAATGCGTGTGTGTGTGTGTGTGTGTGTGTGTGTGTGTGTGTGTGTACTTTGTGTGTGTGTGTACTCTGTGTGTGTGTATTTTTTTGTCAGTTGTGGGGCTTGAACTCTGGGCTTGGGTACTGTCCCTCAGCTCTTCAGCTCAAGGCTAGCACTCTACCACTTGAGCCACATTGCCATTTCCAGTTTTCTGGTGGTTTACTGAAAAGTCTCACAGACTTTTCTGCCTGGGCTGGCTTTGAACTGTAATCCTCAAATCTCAGCCTCCTGAGTAGCTAGGATTACAGGCATGAGCCACTGTCTCCTGGCTACTTGATACGTTTTAAACTCATATACTTGTAACAGTGTAATGATATGAATAATGAGGAAGTACAGTTCATACTACATTTTTGTATTTTGAAGTGATTGGGGAGAGCAAGCTTCTTCATATGAAAGAGACATTCAGAAGCCAGTGCATCCCTAGCTACAATAGAGGCTGAGTTCTGAGGATCACAATTAGAAGCTAGCCCAGGCAGGAAAGTCCACAAGAATCTTATCTCCAATTAACCACCAAAAAACTCAGAAATGGAACTGTGTAGTGTGCTTGCCTTGAGCAAAAAAAGCTCAGGAAGAACACCCAGGCCCTGAATTTGAGCCTAACCAGTACAAAAAAATTAACTAATAAATACAAGTATTTACCCTCAGCAACTATTCAGAAAAAAGCTAAACCTATACAGAACACTTTTCTAGAAGACAGTCAGTTCTAGGGAAGTAGCATCATAAGGTATGGGAAAGCACCCAAGTACCAGTGGCTCAGGCCTACAATCCTAGCTATTTAGGAGGCTAAGATCTGAGAATTGTAGTTCAAAGCTAGCCTGGGCAGAAAAATCCCAGTGTGACTCTTATCTCCAATTTAACCACTCAAGAAAATGAAAGTGGCACTGTGGCTTAAAGTGGT